TGCTGCTGCTGCTGCTACTGCTTCTGCTACTACTGCTACTACTACTACTACTAGTACTACTACTACTACTACTACTACTACTACTACATGTACTACCACTACTAGTTGCATTTATATGGCGCATACGTGCGCCCTACATGACAACATGTTTTCTGTGCCTTATATTATTACCCTCATCAAACCCTAGAACACAGAAATGTTCTCGGCTTTCCGGGAAGCACACGGGGAAAGCTGCAGATAGCAGGAGCTCAAACACTAACAGATTGACAAGATCGTTCAATGTTGATAGCCAGGTACGCATTCCTATATGGATAAAGAACGGAAATTCATAAAAAGTGTCTTTCTCAAAGACACAACATCGGACCCCAGACGTGATTCGAACCAACGACCTTCACCTTTGTGAGTCCGAGAGCCTCATCGCTAGACCACCTTCGCTCACTGAAAAAGAGTATGACGACTAGCTCTTACAGTCACCACACTGACATCACACACACACACACACACACACACACACACACACACACACACACACACACACATCACATCACAGTTGACGCTCCTGAGTGCAGTTTGCTTTTTTTTCTTTCTTAACAAACATCTATCGTCTAAATCTCTCCTTCTTCTTCCCTTCGTATAATACTCTTTAATAACACATCTAGCCTTCGGCACTTATATGACCTATTCGTGTTGCAAGTGCCATAAAACTCTTACTAAAACCAAAAGCTAACACTTATCACAGCACCGATAATTAAGTCTCTTATCGCCTACCATCAGTGACGTTGTACCTCCTGCTACTGTGCAGAAGTTGTGTTTGCTATCATCCCGACCCCATCGATGAAATAGGACAGCTGTCAATGGTAGGCGGGCACTAACACGGGGTGGGGGGGGGGATAGATATATATTTTTTTTATAGTAGAGGGTTTTATGGCTCTCGCAACTGCATAAGGTCATATGAGCGACAAGGGGTGGGTGTCAATAGAAAAGTCCTTACAGAGAATCAGACTTATTCTGCTCACCTCTCTAGCTTCAAGAGCACAAGGTCTGCTTCGACTATCAAGGCACCCCAAAAACAGCAGGTCACAAGAGAGTGACAAACATACAACAGAAGTTGAGGAAAATGACAAAAGTAAGGATTAGGAAAGAAAAAGCAGCAGTTCCCTGTTGAAGATCAGGCACAGTTATGAGTGTGACATGAATCAGCCCATTTACAATTCTACTGTGCTTGAACGAGAAAAGTCCCCCCTTTGGGAATGGCCTAAAGACACTACAGTCAGTGGCACTACCCCAGGGGCGGGGGATAGATAGATAGATAGATAGATAGATAGATAGATAGATAGATAAGGAGAGAGAGAGAGAGAGAGAGAGAGAGAG